CTGCAGACCCTCCGTATGAAAGAAGGTGGGCTCGTCCTGGGAGTGGTGGGAGGGGTAAGTGCGATGAAGGGGTGTTATGATGCAGTGTGCCCTTTGGGGAAAAGGTCACCACTGTTCAGAACAGACTGGAGGGAAGTCAGTGTGGCCATGCAAAGCCCTGGGAGGAAGGAGCAGTGCCGGTGACCTGGGGAAAGGTGGTCCATGGTGGTGACTAAGGGACATAGAGCCCCTGGCAGCAGCAGGAGGGGACAGGAAGACTCGCATGGGTCTGGCTGTCAGGTTGTCAAGAGAGTATCAGTCACCAAGAAAAGGAGACAAGGTTTGTGTCACAAGTTGAGGTCAGGATCTGAATTTAAGGACTTTCTCAGATGTCCAGGTAATGTCCCCTTTGCATGGAAACGGTGCCTGATAAATGAGACCCAAGCTACAGCCAGGTGTGGTGTGGGCCTGGACACTGGGGACCATCTCTAGGAGGTTGTGGATGAGGTCGCCTGGGGAGGATGACGAGGTCTGAGGTAACAGACTTGGAGTCAAACCTCAACTTCCTGAGTTTACCCCCAGATCATGAGGTGGGAGCTACCTGCTGCCGGGCTCAAGAACTCATAAGATCCGTAGCTAGAAGACCAACTCATTCCAGAGACACTGTAGACATTCACCTCTCAGGACCAGGGTCTATTCTGTAGTCCAGTCTTAGCCCAGTCCTCATGGGAGACACCGAGATGGGGACCCAGTGTCCAGCACAGTCAGAGAATACAAGGCTTGGGCCCTGCCACCCCAAGAATAAGCCCCCCTCCCCCTCCCATCCTTGAGTCGTATTTCCATTTTATCACCTATAAGATTAATATAGAATCATTTGCTTTTCCTGACTCCTGGGGTGGAGGATCCAGAGAGAAGGGATAATGGGATTCATAGGGGCCATGTGAATGTGGCGGAAATTGTCTTCCCCTTAGGCCAAAGGGCCTGGGGGTAATGACAGGGCCCTTCCTGTGGGCTGCTAAGAAACACCAGGGTGGATGCCCTGAGCTGGGGAGAAAGTGTGCCCCCTTGTGGAAATAACTGCTACTGCCTGGGAGGAGGACATCTAGAGAGGGAGGTGGGGCTTGCAGGTTTTCAGTGTCGGGGCCTGGCTTTAAATGTTTGATAGACAGGAAAGGGCAGCAACGGAAGTGCCAAAGAGCAGCTGCCGAGGCTTCTTCTCAGAGGGAAGCTGAACATGCAACGAGATATTAAGAGAAAGAAAACATTCAGAGTTCTTACTGTGTTGCTCAGGCTGGCCCCAAACCCATGTGGTCCTCCGGATTCCATGTGCTGGGGCTACAGACATGAGCCACCAGGCCTGGCTCATTTGATCTCTGAGTCAGACTTTACCACAGCCATGTGTCCAGGAATAAACATAGTGTATATTCTTAGTACTGTCTGTTGTTCTAGGCACCCAATGTGCATGGGATATTTTAGAGCAGATCCCTTGCGGCTAAGGGTGCTACCTCATTAGACTTTGGCTGCATAGCTCTTTGCTTCCCTGGGCTTTGTTGGATGTTTCATAATTTCCTGAACATTGGCCATCATATACAGACTGCAGCGCCCCCCTCCAGTATGACAACCCAAATGTCTTCAAACATTGCCACAGTCATGCCCTGGTTCAACAATACTGACTCCCACCCTCCTGCTTGCCAGCTCTAGGAAGGACACTGTTCCCATCTCCTGCTCGCCCAAGGAGTGCTAGCTTCAAGCAGGTGAAGGAGAGAAGGGCCGGCCCTGCACCTCACAGCCTACTCTCACCCGGTCCTTCTGTACCTTTGCTCTGTGCCCAGAGAGACTATTGATGACTCGATGATCCTCAGGCCTTCTGTGCCTCCATTCTCCCTTCTGTGAATTCAGGACAATACTGGTGACTGGGCAGCTTGTATGAAGAGGAAGGTAGCTGGTCTACATGAAATACCCAGCACCGTCCGGGCATGATGAGTCCCCTCTAGCCATTTGTTTACTTTGAGGCAGTCTCACTATATAGTGTAGCTCAGGCTAGCCCCAATTTCACCATCCTCCTGTCTCAGCCTCCTGGGTTGCTGGAGTTACAGGTACCTCTAGCCATTCCAACTTTTGCTGTGCTAAGCCAACGGCGGAACATGGCAGAGCAGCAGCTAAGGTGCTGTAACCTTGTTCTCATAGTGTTCAGGAGGAAGGCAGCTCCTATAGGCTCCAGTAGTGATGAGTGATGTAATCGGGGGTGAGGGGTGGGGTGGACTCACGGAAGGCCAGAAGGGCAGGTTTTCCAGAGAAGGTGGGAACCTAACTGAGCACAGGTCACCTAGGTGCAAGAGGAGGGGGATGAGTGATGAGTGGAAACCAAACCAAAAGGTTTTTCTTGAAAAAAGAAATGAAATGAATCCCATTTAGTAGACTGCCATACAACACAGAGCTCTACCATGTCGAAGGGGCCTGGGCTTATATTTCCATAGGAAACCCCATCAGCGCTCCCCTGGCACGGAAGGAAGTGCCATCTTGCTTGGACCTGGGAGATAACAGGCAGCAAGAACATCTGTGTACCTTTGGTGATGCTAGAGGCCCAGACTGGTTCCTGATGATGACCTGTGCTGTTCTTTCCATACAGCTACAGTCTCCGCCTGGCGTCCCGATGCACCTCATCAGCAGCCCCTTACGTCACCAGACAATGCAGGAAGGTCAAGGCCGCAGCAGCAACTCAGTTCCAGGGACCCTTCTTCAAAGAGTAGGCACTTTGTCTGCTCATGACAGGTGGGAGCCAGAGGCACCCTGGCACCATCTGGGTGGCTTTGGGACTTGGGGGCAGAGTCTGAGGTAGATCTAAGGTTGGGTGAATGGGAGGGATGGCATGTCCAGGACCATCCAGCCTAGCATGGGGCCTTCTGTAGGCATGAGTTCTGTGGCTTAGCGTGTAGACTCTGAATTACCAGGGTTCCAACCCCAGCTTTGCCATTCACTGGCCGTCATTTCCTCCAAGTCTCAACTTCCCTATGTGTAAAATGGGGACTTGCAGCCTTCGGAATGGTGAGGGACAAACAGTGTTGAAGATAGTGGTATTTGCTGTGTTATCCCAACAGACTTGGGCAGTAGGATGCTTATTTTAAAATTGTGTAGTGCAGCCATTCCAGCGATGTGATCAATGCAAATGCATTTACCCAAACCAGACCTGCCAACACTCAACAGTGGGTGGGAGGTTGTAGCCCTTGTACCCGCACTACTGAAGCAGTGGCCACTGATGGACTCTCCAGATAGGCGGTCACTCCTGTCAGTTGAATGCCTGCTGGTGAGCGCCATTAGAAATCTCTAGTGGAGACTTCCAAGCCCACAGTCACACTTACTGGGTCTCAAAGCAAAAATGCTCGAATGTAGAGAAGGGACTTAGCGGGAAAGGGGCTTGAAAGGGGTGGGTGAGTGGGAGATAAGGGGGTGAGGAGGGCACCAGTTATCAAAATGCACTATATACACATGAAAATATCAAAGTGCAAATTTAATAACCAAAAGAATCTTGTGCATTGTACATGTGTGCGCATGTACACCTGTGTGTGTGTGTGTGTGTGTGTGTGTGTGTGTGTGTGTGTGTATGTGTAGAGGCCAGAGAACAAACTTAGGGCTGGTGTAGTTGGATTCTGGTGAGGACCCTCTTTCTGGATTGTAGACATGGTATCTTCCTTCTTACCATGTCCTCACATGCTGGGGTCCTAATTATCTCCAGAAGGTCCCGGTCCATCCCACTGAGGGATTTGGTTATAACACAAGGCTTTCAGGGAGACGAAATTCATTGTAGAGCACTATTGAACACAGGTGCAGAAAGGCTTTTAAAGTCCCTGGCACAGATGCCCAGTTCAGGAGGACACACGAGGGTCAACACCTTCCTTTTCAAGAGGGAAAGAGAGGGATAGAATGTGTGTCAGAACTCTGGTCCTCTGATGTCCAGCCTGGAAGGCATGTAGGTGCCTGCACCCAGTGAGTAGAGCTGCCCATCACTCTCTGAAGACCCATGCTACCTATGAGCTCACAAAACCCAGTTCTCTCTGAGCCTCTGTTTCCTTCATATGCTGTATGAATCTGCTCAGGGGCTCAGGGCCTGTGTGAGCCTTCCAGGGCTAAGGGGCAACACTGGCCCATGAAGAGAACCAACCAGTAATGTCCACCAAAACTGGCTTGGTGGCTCCTTTTTTTTGCCCCAGCAACTCCTCTGCCAGGGTCACCTTGGCCGATACATGCACAGGGATGTGACATGTGGCTTCTAGGTACACAAAGGGATGTGCCAATGGTGTCACTGTAGGCACACCACTGACCCCGCAGCATTAACAGCGGGCCAGAGGGACCCATGTGGCATGTTTCCACAGGAGAGTATTGTAAAGCAGCAGATGAACAGAGCTACAGCCACAGTCAGACAGACAGAAATACAGCATGCTCATACAGAGTTAGAGCTGCATGCCCAGAACTTCACACAGGCTAAACTGAAGCACAGGGGCACAGATACTAGTCAATTCAGTGTGTTTACGTTTAAAATCTGAGCTACGATGGGGGTGCAGACACCTGGGAAGCTGATGCAGGGGGATTTCTGAATTTGAAGCCTCCTTGTGCCACATTGTGAAATGGTCTCAAAATAAACAGAGGATTGAGGGTGTAGCTTAGTGGTAGAGCCCTTACCTAGAACGTGGAAGGTCCAGAGTTTAATTCCCAGCACTATGGGAGGAAGAAGGAAGGAAGGAAGAAGTGTGAGTTTCTCTCTGTCCCACCAGCTCCAAATCATGACACAGAATCATGAAAGCTGGGCTGGTGGCTTAGGCTTGTTCCTAACTAGCTCTTATAACTTAAATTAACCCCATATTTTTTAATCTGTGTGCTGCCACATGACCCATGGCTGTTACCTCTCCTCCTGCATGTCTTGCTTGTTCTGTCTCCCGGTGTCTCCACCCTTCTTCCCAGAATCCTCTGTGCCTGGAAATCCTGCCTAGCTATTGGCCATTCAGCTTGCATTAAACCAATCAGAGTGACATCTTCAGACAGTGTAATCAAATATGTTTCGGGAAAGAAGTCAGAGAAGGGGGAGGGAAGGAAGGAAAGAAGCCAGAGAGGTAGGCAGAGGCAAACCAATCTGAAGTGATTAAAAACCAGGATGATGGCTGTCTGGGGGGAGGAACCCTGAAATAGGGATGGCTCAGGGTGGGTTGGGGGTAATGTTCTGTGTCTTCCTCTGAAGCTTGATAGATGCTATGAAAATTCATCAAATGGGGCTCTTATCCATATGTCTTTACACTTTAGTCAACTGCTTAATAGAATAATTATTAAACAGGGAAACATGAAAAGCCGTGGAAGGCAGTGAGTGTGTGGCCACCATTGTCATTTTCTCTTTGTTTCTCCTCAGCACCTGAAGTGACCTGGAATCAGTGAAGCCAAAGGGACCAGCGTTCTGCCCTGCAGAGAGTACTGACCTCTCCCAGTTGTGAAAGCAAGAGAGCGAGAGTGAGAGTGAGCGAGAGAGAGAGAGAGAGAGAGAGAGAGAGAGAGAAAGAGCATGTGTAGGTGCTGGTGCATGCATGTGGTCTTCAAGCCAAGGTCCCAGCCTTGGGAGCAGGAGGGCAGCAGCCTTTGCGTCATCCTCCAGATGATCCTTGGACATGGCCCAGAACCGTGCTCTGTGGTGCAGCCATCCTGCCCGGGGTGGGTGGGTGAGTGGGTGGGGCATCTCCCTCTCTTCAATTTTTTAAAAGAGTTCCTTGACCCTGCTTTGTGCTTCTTGAGCTGTTTGCCACCGCTGGGACTTCCTCAGTCTGGTCCTGAGGGGTGGGGAGGGGTCCTATATAAGGATGACCTTTCGGAGGCCAAGCTCCCTTTCATGCCACCCCCTTCCTCACCGACATTCTCCTCACATTGTCTCTGGGAATCGATAGCAAATAGCATATAGATCCATGGGGCTGAGCCTGAACCTTGGCCCTAGTACTTGGAAACCACCCCTCCCCCTTCCTCCCTAAGCAGCCAGAGCGGCCAGCTTTCAAGTCATCTCCTCCTTGAAGTCCAAGAGGACTCTGCTCTGAAGTCTGCAGGGAAGCCTAGAGCCTGTGCATCCAGGTGGCAGACTCTGCCCATTTCCAGACCTCACCTCTTCTTTAGAAGAATCAGTGGTTAGGGACTGTGAGGTGGAGGTGTGACCCTCCTGTGCCCTTCTTCGCCTCATTTGGTGGGACCGCCTACATTTTTTTACCATCTGAACTTTTTAAGTTAGCTGTAAAGGGAAGCAAAGAAAAAATTATAAAAAGGGAAATGAAAAAATACAGATTTCAAAACAAAACAGGAGTTTTTGAATGGGTAGTTTTCAGATGCCATTTCACCACATGCTGACCCCCTACACACACACACACACTGGTGGACAGTTGGGCGTTTGGGAGAAACATGGGACTGAGCTCTAAGTTCAGACCTGGGTCACTGAAGTTCTTGGGTTTTGTGCCTTTGGGGTGGAGGATGCCTGAGACAATTTTGGTGCTGTTTCCTCAGCTCCATTCTGGTCCCAACATGTCAAAGAGGGAGGACAGAACTTGGGAGAGTTGTCATACACGAAAGCGGTTTCCTGTTTCAGGGTTACTACGGTTGATCTTACAACTCTGTAAATATGTATGTAGACACTTTTAAAAGCACGTATTTATGGTCCCGACTGTAAATGCTCCATTTTTAAAGTTTTATAACACGTTATTTAATTAATCAGTCGGCTGGCTGCAGTAAGGGGACTGACTGGTCCAGGAAAAGGGGACCCTAGAGACCCTCACATGGGCAGAAAACCATCCATCATTGTCCAGCGTTACCGTTTTCCTGTTCACCCACCCAGCTAAACTCTGCTGTACCCTTTTTCATTTCTTCAACTAGAATTTTTCTTTTACACACTCTGCAGTTAATCCTTGCAAGCATGGACTGTGGCTGTTGCTAACCCCACTGACACAGTATGCCTCACAGCTGATCACACAGACCGTCTCAGCCTGTCCCAGCAGCCAGGAAAACTCACGAACCCGAAGCCTTGGCAAGCTGCTTTCAGCCAAACTTGGGAAAACTCTGGAAAACGTTGCTGGGCTCTTGGGGGATTCCCTCTTCCCCCCCTCTCTCTGTCTCTCTCCCTCTCTTTGCATGAGCAAATTGTGCTGGGTCACCCTTCAGCACTTCCCAGATTGTCAGGAAAACGAGGAGAAAGTTTTGTCAAGCGTGGTGTCTCCTGTTCAGTGGAGGTCTTCTAGCGTGGTTCTAGGTCACGCGAGAAGACGGTTCTGTATCTGCCGTGCGAAGAATGTGAACAATAAAAGTGCGGAGCGATTGTGAACCACAGTGTGGGCGTGGTCATTTTCCAGTCGCAGGCTTCGTCTTCCATGTCGGTGGATTCTGGGCTGGTGGAGCAAAGTAGGGTGGACCCCTACTTTAGGAACAAGAGAAATCGGAGGCTAAAGAGGCCAGTGGTGGGGATGTCCTTGTGTTGAGCAAGGTTTCTCCACCTTCAAGTCACTTACCCTTCTGCCAGATGGTGAGTTACCATTTTCTGTTGAGACTGGACAGCCTCTTGTGATTGCAGTAGTCTTCCTCCTCCGTGTGTGTGTGTGTGTGTGTGTGTGTGTGTGAGAGAGAGAGAGAGAGAGAGAGAGAGAGAGAGAGATTTGGTGCAGATTCGGTGCTAGATACCCTGGGACTGGAGTTCCATATGGTTGTGAGCCTACATGTGGGTGTGTAGGAACTGAACCCAGGTTCTCTGCTAGAGCAGTTTGTGCTCTAAACCCTGACTCATCTCTCCAGCCCCTCCAATATACTCTTCAGAGTATATTTTAAATTTTTTGTTTCTCAAGGTGTGCTTTGCTTTGGATACAATAGACTTGCAGAAGTTCCACAGTCAGTGTTTGTATTGTATACAGAGCAGATCTTCACCGATGCCCAAATACTACACGAGGATAGGAGAAAGGGCCCAAGAACACTCTCTAAAATCACAAGTGCTGTGTCAGGGGGGTATCTCCAGAAACCAGGAGATTCCCACAGATGTGAAAGGGAGGCATCAGGATCTGCTGCCTGCAGGCTGGGGGAGGGGATGGCCCAGAAGCTCTGCAGACATGCAGTTCAGTCTGAGTCCCGGGGCCTGAGAACCAGGGGTGCCCGTGGGAACCGGGGCGGGAGAGGAGGTGGCTTGTGTCAGCCCCTCTGCCGGGTATGGTCCTGGTCCCCTTCTGTTGCTGTGATAAAACACTTGGTCCAGAGCAAGTTGGCAGGATAGGGCTTATTTAGCTTACAGCCCATCATTGAGGGAAATCAAGGTGGGAACCATGATGGAATGGTGCTGGCTAACTTGCAGGCTCGTGCTTACAGAGCTTTCTTATGCAGCCCAGGGAATGGTGCGGCCCATAGTAGGTCTGGCCCGCCTATATCATTTAAGACATTACTTTGCACACATGTCTGCAGACCAACCTGATAAAGACACTGATTCGATTGAGACTCTACAAGCAGAATTTTATGCTGTGTGAAGTTGGCAGTTGGACAGAACTCCTCCCAATCCCTTTTGTTCTATTCAGACCTCTCCACAGATTGGACAGACCCCAACACACCGAGGGTGTCCTCTGAGATTGAAGTATATTCTCATCTGAAAACCCCATAGATACTCAAAATCAGGTTCAACCTGATCCCATGTCCGCGTCCACCCAAATGTGAGGCTCTCCACCACATACAACCTACCACTCTCTGGAGCAAAGTAGAAAGTGAAAGTGAACCTCGTTATGTGAAATCCATACATTCAATCCCTTAACCCACACTGCTGGCCTCAGTTCGCACAGGCCTCACTCTGGAGCCACATGGTGGTGGCAAGAAGAATGCCAGCAGAGTTCATGTAGGATGAGGAATATCATCTATGGTCGTTTGAATGTAACTAACCCCCCCCCCCCCCCCCCCGTAATCTCATAGGGAGTGGCACTATTAGGAGGTGTGGCTTTGCTGGGTTGGATTTGGCCTTGTTGGAGGAAGTGTGTCCCAGTGGGGATGGGCTTTGAGGTTTCCTATGCTCAGGATACTGCCCAGTGAGTCAGTTGGCCTCCTGTTGCCTCCAAAATGGCAGCCTTCTCATTTACCTCTCTGCTATCATGTCTGCCTGCACGCCACCAGGCAGATAACGGACTGAACCTCTGAAATTATAAGCAAGCCACCCCAGTTAAATGGTTTTTTTTTATAAGAGTTGCTGTGGTCATACTGTCTCTTCACAGCTACAGAAGCCCTAGCTAAGACACCATTCAACATGATAAATATAAGAGTGGTCATACTTACTCTTCACAGCTACAGAAGCCCTAGCTAAGACACCATTCAACATGATAAAGAGGGCTGGTAAGTCTGTCTTGTGGGTGTTGAGAGCTTGGCATTAGCTGTCAGGGCTTACAAGACAACTTGACACATGCTGGAGTTATTTGGGAAGAGGAACCTCAACTGAGAAAAAGCCCACCCCTCCCCCCACACCTGATTAGTCTTCGAGAGAGTCTATGGGACTTTTTCTCTATTGATGATTGATGTGGGAGGGCCCAGGCCATTATGGGTGGTGCCACCCCTGGCAAGTGCTTTACTGATTGAGCCGTATCTAGCCCTCTGGTGACAGGTGCTCCACAGAGCCTGCTGCACAACCACTTGGCTCCAATGAGAATGGGTGGTGCCACCCCTGGCAAGTGCTTTACTGATTGAGCCGTGTCTAGCCCTCTGTTGACAGGTGCTCCACAGAGCCTGCTGCACAACCACTTGGCTCCAATGAGATAACACAAGGGGAAAGCTGGAAAGACAGAAAGTCCCATTCCCCCCTGTTAAATGGCCCCGACTTCTCTGGGACAGGTTAAAAACCAGTGGGAATCACAGAAAACCAGGACTTGGGTGATGCCTGGAATTTAGCAAATTGCCAAGTGATCAAGACTAGACTCGTGTGCCAAGAGGACCAGAGTTGCCCATGCATAGTGATTCCCAAACAGCACCTGCTGCTAGCCCTGGCTGGATGGCCGGCCCATCATCCTGGGCACTTGAGGGACTGTGGATGAAATCCTGAGTGTATGTATTGTTGACATGAGCACAGCCATGTCAAGGACACCAATGCCTTAGACCTATGGGAGTGGCAGGGCCTTCCCCCTGGCCTGAGTGCCTGTGTTGAGACTGTATGCAGAGAATACAGTCAAGCACAGCTCCCCTGCCAGGACTGGCTAATCTGCCTCCTCCTTCAGCTGTAAACACACCAAGTCCCCAGCTTCTGGTGCATCCCCATTATAGCACACCCCCTGGTCCCAGCTTTTCTGTAATTCTGTCCACCATTCCTTCATTTCCCATTGCCCAAGTCATATCAATCCCAAAGCTGTGCAGGGCAAGGTATGGTACCCAGAGGCTCAGCCAAGGCTGTGATGCTGTTTCTTGACAGCAAACAGGGATCCTTCTTGTACGGAGTTGGGGCTCCGGGAGGCTGGGCAGGGACCGGACAGGTAGACAGGTGAAGCCAGGAGCTCCCATGCCTGTGCTCTCTACCTTGGGAAGGAGGCTTGGAATGGCCCCTGGGTATTGTAGCAAAGGAGAAAGGCCACAGTCTGGGATGAGGATCCAACTGTATCTAGTCTACCTGGTCCCCAGGTTGGGGTTCTGCTATGCTAGGGGAACTGAAACTCGGGTGCTGGGTGGCGTTGCTCGCCACACTCAGCTGAGCAGACAGCTGCTAACTTTTAAAATCCCCACAGGGGACTCATGCTTCAAGCCCAACCTGGCCTCTGCCTCTTTGTGATGATAACAGGCCTGTATGTAGTGGCTCCCCAGACCGTCAGGAAATGGGACCTGCTACCTGGCCCCACGGGTGGAGTATAGAGTACATCGCCCTTCTCCTCCCCCTTTCTGATTGGCTGCTATACTCTGAAAGTCAGCCAGGCAATGTGGGCAGGTTTTCTGTGATGCTCAGGCATCACAGAAAGAGGGGTGTGGGGAGGGTCGCTGGACTCTCATTTGAGGTTCTGGTCACTCCCTCTTACACCTTCTAGGTACCTGTATGTAATTCTGTCCTCACTGCACACGGCCCTGTGGTCTTGGGAGGTGCTGATTGGGGGACGGCATATAGGCAAATATAGGAAAGTCATCATTTATGCGGGGGTGAGACTTTCAAGTAATAACATCTGCTTTGGGGTCACCTGTGCTCCCCTAAGCAACACCTCCCCCTGTTCTATAAGTACAGAATTGGACTTTGGTGGAATCATATTTTGGTTTGTTGTTGGTGCCCTAGAAGGAGTGGACATTTGTATCTTCCCAGGGAAAAAAAAACAGTTCCCACAGCAGCTGCCAGATAAGATAGAGGATGCCCAACCATGTGTGAATTTTGGAAAATCATGAAAAGACTTTGCAATGTAAATATGTCCCTAATATTAGACAGGGCACACTTAACACGAAAACAACTGTTTATGTGAAGGTCAAATGTGCCTGGGCAGCCCATGTTGCCCTGCGTGGCAGCCCTGTGCAGGTCTAAATGCCCTTTGGGCTGCCCCTCCTATGTTGGGTCGTCTTGACTTCAGTTGATTGAGAGTGCTCGACACTCGACTGGCGCTCAGCCCAGCAGCTGGGCCAGTTTCTCCCCTGCTCTTAAAAGTAGTTCCTGATTTGATGTGAAGGTCACTGAATGTCAAGTGTTGCCCTAGGACTCTTAAAGAGTGTTCAAGTGACTCTTGACACCTGCCACTGACATCTAGGGCTCGTGGCTCTGCCTCCAGCTTGATGCCTGGGGTTTAATTTCGGTTTTGAGTCTATAGCCTCTCTTGCCATCTGATACAAAGACCCAGAGGCAGAAGGATGAGTAAGAGGTTCTGTTTTGGCAATGGCTGGCAGGATGTTGCAAAATAAAATCATCTGGGGGGTAAGAAAGGGCTCCACCAGCTGTGAGCTCCCTTCTCCGCTGGAGGACACGCTGGGGAGGGGGTGGGGTGCTTCTTACCAGCTGTTGCTGAGGTCTTCTGAGGGCTACCATTGTAGGTATCTGCGCTGTGGCATCCAGGTGCAAGTAAATACTCTAAAGAAGACTATCAACCAAGGAGACAGAAGCAGTGTTGGTACACAGAAGAGTGCAGCCTGCCCACCCGATCATCATTGTGGTTTCTCAGGCTTCTGGTATTCTTGCCTACCTGCTAACCACATAACCCACCTACGCTTCCCTGGCACCAAGCCACTGGGATAATTCTTGGGTGATTACCAGAATGCCATTTTTGCTTAAATTGGAAAGTTTATGTTATTAGTAACTGGGGAAAAAAAAAAACCAACAACTAGAGAAACCATAAAGATATCTCCAAGTTTTCGTGGAAATAAATACTAGCAACAGCTGTGCCATCAACTGGTGTGTGGCCCTGGGGTGCCATTGTGCCTCCTGTGCCTCTGTTTCCTTGTCTGTAAAGTGGGCACTTCGATCCTGGCCCACAGTACAAACTGTTGGTGGCAATGCATCCATACTGATTTTAAAACTCTAATTAGAGTGTATGTGGCTCAGTTGATAGAGAGCTTGCCTAGCGCACATGAAGCCTTGGGTTCCAGGCTCAGCACAGCATCGACCAGGTGAGGTAGTACACAACTGTGATTCCCGCACCAGGGAGGTGGGAGCAGGAGAATCCGGAATCCTGGGTCATCCTTGGCTACAAAGCTAGATCAAGGCTGGCTTGAGCTATAGAAGACCCTCAAACAAACTAACTCTTAGACTGCCATTATCTTTACAGTTCCTTCAGTGATGGTGATATAGGGGTTCCTATTACCAGCAGTATTAAGATTTGGAGTTTTCCAATGGACTCAGGCAGGACACCCCCATGTTGTCCTGCCTTTGCCCGATGCTCTATATGGAAGTGGGGTGGTCATGTTGATGGAAGTCACAGACAAACCTTACCAAATACGCAGCAGCCCAGTGCCAGCCTTGGGGAACTGGGGAAGGAGGGTTTCACTGGTGTCCCAAACTTACCAGGAGGGAAGCAGGCTCAAAGAGGATGTCTCCACTAAGATCTCACATGGGAAGCAAGCCACCAGGACTCCCAAGACCAAGGGAGTTAGACTGCACCACCTTCTGCAGGAAGTATTCTCTAGTTGCTGCAAATGCCTATAGCACGAAGCTCTTCCTGGATTCCTAAAACCCTGCCATTTGCCTGATGCCACTCAAAGTCCCTATGTCCATGTCTCTAAGTTGAGATGCTACAAAGCACCTGCTGGCAGAGAGTGGAAGGGACTTCCATAAGACAAGGCCCTCCTGGCACAGGTGGCAGTCAGGTGAGAGCTGGCATCCAGAGGTCTATTCCTAGCTAGGTCCTGGGTCCAATGGAATTACATCACATCCATGTGCCCGTTGTCCTTGACACAGCTGTGGGGAGCTCCTCTACAGAGTGTGGGTGCCCACAACCTTCTCTCCCCTCTGTTTATCTGTTCCCTTTGTTATATGGATTATTTATGGAAAACACGTGAGCACAAAACAAGCCAAGAACCCTGATTTCCACGACAAGCAGTGCCTTGTGTCACCCTCAAGCACTGGGCAGGAAGAAGAGATGGTCAAAGGAAACAGACGTGGGGTTCATGCTGTGTTAGTGAATTAGGGCCCATCTTCCCAGTGTCTGGAAGGAGTCCTCTAAACCAGGAGTCCCAGGCAGACATGTCGGGCACCAGCTGTGTGCCCATCTGATCTGAGGAGCCACCGCTGCTTCTGAAGGTCTGATAACATGGGCTTTCGCACCTCTGTGAAGGGCTGGGGGAGCAAGAGCCCTGCAGAGCCTAAGGGGAAAGAGGTGGTAAATGGCAGCTGTAACATACCTCGTATGACCTAAGTTGAATTCTCTCACTCGTTCCACATATCCAGACACCATCTTCCTCAACGCACATGTGAACACACACTCATGTATGTATATGCACTGACGCACACTTTCACGCACACACATGCATGCAGGCACACCTTCACAATCACACGGATACACAGATACACACCAAGTTCATAAGCACACAGGTTCACATACATGCACTCATAATGCATGCCAGAATATGCATGCAGAAATGCATATATGCACACGTATTTCCCACAAGCACACTTAGAAATACACATGTTCATACATGCACTGCCTTTGACGAGCCCTCTCTCGTACTTGTACTTCCAGGACACATGTATGTTCCCAGTTGCACCTGCTGAGACAGTGGTTGGGAGAGAACCTGCCATTTGCCTTGCCTGACAATAAGATGGCATCCTGGTGTTATGATAAATCTTTCTGCCAAAAGCTGCCGCACGCCCACCGCCACGTGTGTGCTCTGCGCCAGCTGCCTGCCCGAGTTAGGCCCAAATAAATACACAGAAACTTGTATTAGGTTTAAAGATGCTTGGCCAATGACTAGGATTCCTCATCTGTTAGCTCAGTCTTAATTATCATAAATCTATATATTTTATAAGACTTATCTTATCGGATGCCTTATTGGCGTCCCTCCTTGCCGGGGGATCACATTGTGCCGCAGGAGCAGGAGCAGAGGGGAGAGAGGGCATACCTACTGTTTCCTCGCTTAGATATGAGTCTCCTTGCCATGTCACTTCCTGCCTGGATCATCACTTCTCTACTACATTTCCCAGAATCCTCTTTGACTCCTAGTCCTTGCTTGCCATTGGCCAAACAGTATTTTATTCAACAATCAATAAGATAAGCATACACAGTAGTACATTCCCCATCATCCCGGGCTGTGCCAGCTCCTGGAAGTTTGTCCTAGTTAGTTTTTTTTTTTTTTTTTAATCAACTTGATAGAAGCTACTAAGTAGTGGGAAGAGGGAATCTCGATGGAGAAAATGCCCCCATTAGAGTGGACTAGTGGCAAAGCTGTGGGGTATTCTCTTGGTTAATGACTGATGTGGGAGAGCCCAGTCCTCTATAGTGAGCACCACTCCTAGGCAGGTGGTCCTGGGCTATATAAGAATGTAAGCTGAGCCAGCTCTAACAAGCAAGCCAGTAAGCACCACTCCTCCATGGCCTCTGCTTCAGTTCCTAAACCCCAGGTTCCTGCCGTGACTTCCTGCCCTGACTTCCCTCACTGATGGATGTGGCCTGAGGGGTGTAAGCGGAAACAAAGCCTTTCTTCCCTAAGTGGCTTTTGGTCCCTGCGTTTTATCGAAGCAACAGAAACCTTACCTAGGACAGAGTTCCAGCATGAGTTCTTGACCTAAGGCCTGTGCTCTCTCTGTTCTTCTAAACACAGCCCTGTCCCCCCCCCATCAAGGAGCAAGATCTTAACCCAGCAGGGTGAGGTTGTGAGCACAGGAAGGGAGGGGATGTGCAGGGTGCTACCAAGGTAGAATTGTCCCCTAATGACGACAGTGTTTCCTTCAACACAAGGCTTGATGTATTATAGTGGGAAATTACCAATACGGAGTCAGGTAGAAATATAAGGGTATTTAATAGGGAAAAGCCTTACTTACAGAGCGACCTAGCCAGCCGGCGTGGCAGCAGTCTGTACAGCAAGAAGCAAAGTGAAATCGAAAGAGCAAACGCAGTCATCCTACATCCCCTGACCACGTCCTCGAAAGCTTGTGAGGGCGTGGTCAGGCACACCTGTAGCCAGCCCCTAAGTAGGCGTGGCTACAGCTTCCCCTACAATTCCCCTTTTAGTCTAAAAGAGGATTAAAACTTAACAGTTTAAAGTATCCAAAATTAACAATCATAAAGGTAAAATATAAGAAGATACAACAATCT